CCCCATGAAGCTTTGGCGACCCATAGTAGGGGTTGGGACCCCCAGGTTGGGAATCGTTAGTCCTTGGTAGATGGCGTTCAGCAGCCTGACATAAGATCCACTGGCCCTCCAGCGATGGTATTTCTCCGAGCCTTCACAGTTAAAGAGACTGTGGACCCACAAGTAGCACACCACTCCCCAGCAGAGGAATCCAGAGCTGGTCCTGGATGTGTCTGCCACCCTGGGCAGGTTTTGGGGGCTTGCTGCATTAGTCACAGTAGTAAACCAGGAGCCCCTAGTGACAGCCACTGTGATGGAGGGTCCTGTCTGACTCTGAGCAGTCAGAGGTCAGACCCAGGCTGCCGTGCTCCTGCATGGATGGATTACCTGCTGGCCTCTGATCATTTCAGCTCTCCTTTTGGCTTCCTTTCTTCTTTTAAGTGTTTTGTCTTTTATTTCTCATTCCCTCTCTCAGAGGACTTCACCCCAGTGCAGTACAAAGCTCCACCGACCCCTAAGCCCCTGAGGCCCGTGCCCCCCTACAGCGGCTTTGGCTCAGAGGAGGACTCGCTGAGCTCCTGCCAGGGCCTGCTGCCCAAGCCCCCACAGAAAGATTTCCGCAAATTTATGGAGAAGGACAGGTTGGATGAGTTGTAGCCACATTCACAAACAAATTACACACTGAGTTCTTTGTGCGTTAGTGGAAGGCCCTAACTCTAGCACATGTGTGTCCCCCTAGATGCGGCCTCAACAGTAATGTGCTGAATTTCCATGCAAAGATGGTGACCAACGACCCAGTCGACAGAGACAGAGTGTTCATCATCTCCTTCTACCTCTGTGACGACTCCATCAGCGTGTTCGAACGCCCACAAAAGAACTCAGGTAAAAACGTTAGGACCAGGACCACTCCCAGGCCTTGGGATACAAATCTATGACTCTCATGGTTAACATTCGGTTTGTCAGACTCACTTTCCATTTTCAGAATCTTTTGAAAACACATGAAACAGATGACATTTAGTGCACAGACCCCCTTTTTATTCAATGTAAAACAATATTTGACAGTATTTTGTACAATTCTAGATGAATAGTGTGTCACGGGTTCATGGACTGTTCAGCATGGCAAAACTAAATTGTAACGTAATGTCAAACAAAACAATATAATTTAAATTCAATTAAGATTGGATTTTTTCTGTTTAAATTGTTTTTCTTAGCTTTTTATGTTATATAAAATACAGTTTTATATATTTTAATCAAATCTCCTGTCACAGGTAACCCTATCCTATTGTACCATTACAAATTGACATCTCAAAACATAAGTTCAGTGAACACAGAATAGTAAAATAAAAAAGGGGGTACAAAGACAAACTACAAGAAAATTAAAGCTGCAGTAGGTCATTTTTATGAAAATAGATTTATATCATATTTTTTTATATAAATATATATATATGATATATTTTCATCATTTTTATGAAAAATGTAAAATGCTCTTACAGATTTGAATTTAATAACATTAAGACACGATGATGTAAAAGTAAATGCCAGTGCTTTTAAACTGTGGTCAAAGGACTAAGTTACTTTGTCGACAAAGTTGATTTCAGTGGAACTGAAAAACTAATCATACCCTTTCCCTATCCCTTTCCCTTTCCTATCCTTCCCTCTCTCACACACGGTGCTCCAGGTGTGCTCGGTGGTAAGTTCCTAGAGCGTGGTCGTGTAAAGAAGCCAGGCCAGGACCTTTTTAAGAGCGAGCTGTCTGAGTGCTTTACAGCTCAGGATCTGTACGTCGGAGCCACCCTCTGCCTTAACAATAAGCACTTTCAACTTCTGGACGGCGATGAATACACCTTCAATTACATGGAGCAACATGCTGAGGAGGTAGGGGGAGAACTGAAAGAGGAATATTTGGTGGTTTTCTAAGGTTTACGTGGGGGATTGTAGCGAAAGCCCTGCAAGCTTGTTTTCAGTGCTGGTCTTTGGAGCAGGCTGCTAGAGCTCCAGCAGTCATCTTTAGTCATCTAGGTGTTACTTGTTGCTATATGTGATTAAAGATTGCATGTTTGTGTGTTTGTGTCTGAAGTTCCCTAAAGCCAATGTGGGTAACATCCTCAGTAAACTGCGTTCCATTCCAGAGGAGAAACAGAGTGAGATCAGGAAGTTTCTGGCTCTCAGTGACCCCAGCAACACTGGCTTCATCCCCTATGAGTCATTCAGGTACTGTAGTAAAACTGCAACTATAAGTATAGTTCAGTCTGTCTAGTATGCCTCCCCCTGTGCCAATAATATTTACTGAAGTAGATGATCAGAGCCCCCGTCCGTTAATTATTGAAGTTATTGATCAAGCACAAATGCTAAAAGTTTCTGACTCCACATGAAGAAGATGATGACGACGACGACAGCAGCAATGATGGGGG